TTCTATTTCTGTCTTGCCCTACCATTGTGTTCTCTATGAAAAGTTAATATAATTGTACTGTAAATAGTATTTTTCACAGTAGTCAAATATTGACACAGAACATGTAATAATACTAAATGCCTGTTTGGATGAATGTGTTACATAATTTTTTGGCTAAATCATCTGTCTAGCTAGTCCTTTGAGGTCCTGAATCTTAGGCAAGCAAGATTATTTCCTAGCTAAAAACATGTACATTCGAAGCGACCAACTAAATTGTTCCAGTTCGTTTAGTGACTGTGGTATTGTTACATTGCAGTGCTGTAAGCAACTTTTATCTTCCCCAACATTCACATTTGCTCCTTAGTTTTGTAGTGGAGATGTAGGTGCTTGTATTACCCTAGCACCACACTTGGTCTGCCACTCTGATCATATTGCTGCTTTTTCAAAACTGTCAAGTCATTTCCTCTTTCATACTTTACCTAGTTAAAGTCTTAGTCTTTGTTTCAGTATCTTTGAGTAACTTCTCCCTGTTGTCTTCACCTGTGGTCATACTAGCTATTTTGCTTTGCCTTCTCTCATTTGCCATACTGGCAGTGACAATGCTTTATACCCAATATTACATTTTTCACTCCTGTGTTAATGTATTTCTCTCTGCTTCTCTCCCCCCGGCCTTTTTTTTTTTTTTTTAATGATTTCACAATCCTAGTGTTTTGTTTTGTGGAAAAACTTAAGGTATTACTATTACAAGGCTATGGACACTTAGACTGTGGAGTGCCCTTTTCATCTAAATGTAACATGGAAGGAAACAGTGACTGAGGTAATGGAGAAACTAAAACCAAACAACAGTGCAGTAGTGCAATCAAGGCTTGTACTTACTAATTAGCCACATTAATTTATTGATGATACCTTGCCTCTTTTTTCCATGACCCCTTCTTATTTCACCCTGTATCTCACTGCTTGTGATAGATGTCTCTGTAAGGCTCCTGAGTGTAGAAACTTGTCTTTTATTTCTCCGGTGTACATTTTAGGAAAGTTGGGAGGAAGGGGATGAGGACAGGACCTAGTGTGCCCTTGGGTGCTGATTAAAGTAAGTGAGGAAAAAAATATTACAGTATGCCAGAAGACCATGGAAATAAATCGGTGCTGCTGAGAAGAAACACATGGTCCTGCTCTGTTCTAATGGGTATCTGAATGGACACAAAAAAGAGTATGAATTCTTACTAGGTTCTTTGAATCTTCCAAAATTAATCTAAAATAATACTAAAATCAGCAGATGATTACAAAGTTGTTGATTTCATTTTTGCAAACAATGTAACTTATTTTTTGCAAGGATAGTCTAATACTGCTGGTTTTCTTTAACAATAGTTTTATAATATTAAAAACATGATAGTGTCAAGGGTCTAATGTGTCGTAAGCAGTGACAGTCATCTCATTTGTACAACTGTTTTTATAAAACATTTTTTGTGAAAGTCTGTTGTCGTTAAGGTAGATAGTATGTAGTTCTGCTTTTGATGAGGTAGAACTTAAAAATCACACACTTTATACAGGTCATGCAAGAAGTAATGGTTCAGAGCCAAATCTCAATGTCAAAAATACATTCAGATACAATTAGCATTACAGTTTTGTCTGCAATACTAGTTTGATGTAAGATTTTTAACCCATCTGTTGTCTTTAGATTATGGATATGTTCTAAGAGGTACGGCTAGTTAATTCTGAGTATATCCTTTTATTTCATATCCTTTTCCTATATACTTTCCTCCTCCCTTTGCCACTAATGACTACTGCGAAGACTGCCATGTCTTTCCATTTCTGAGGCCTGTAGTTCTCTATTTTCTTGCACAGCCTTTTCCAGCTGTCCCGGTTTGGGTGATGCTGAAGCCAAAATGCTGCCATATTGTTCAGCTGAAGTAATGGTGCCTGTTGCCGTGTAAGATAGGCCTAGAAACATCTCAGTGATACTAAACAACTGCTGGGCTATCTAAAGTGAAATAGTGATTAAACAAAAAACATGAAAATTCAGTCTTTACACTGTTCCAAATTTATGAAAGCTACTTCATGTTGTACATACTAGTGATGTATATTTTTGTAATGGTTGGCATGGTCAAATGTATTTTGTCACTTAGGCATGCCCGCTACGCTTCCACAAAATGCACTTGCTTTAACACAGTGTCTCCTTTAAGTCTTGTAAAGTTAAAAAAAAAAAGTTATTTTATTCAATAGTACCTCTTTCAAAAGCATCTCTTAAGCTTGTAGAAAATTAGCCTTAGTGGAAAAGTTTGCTTCAAGATATGCAGCATTTTCTACACCTGATGTTCCATTAAAAAAAAAACCAAAAAAAAACCCAAAAAAAAACCAACCCCCCCGCCAAAAACCACACACACACAAAACAAAAAAACAAAACAAAAAAAAAAACCACAAAATAACAAACCAAAAAGGGTTGTGCTTTTTACATACCCTAAGGTTTTACCAGGCCAAGATGGCTGCTGTTTCCTTATCCCCTCTTGCATTGCAGGGAGGGGCGTAGCTGGTGCTACCATTTCTGTTGCACCCAAGAAGGGATGCTGTGTGCTTTTGTTACAGACTCGTTACTACAAGGTCACCTGAAAAACAAGGTGAAGCAAGGTGTAAAGATTTTTTTTTTTCTTCCTGGTTTCCTTTGAATCACCTGGCTTTGTCCAACAATAGCTTCCACATTTTGTATCTGATATTCGACTGCCTGAACTCGTCCTAACTCCGATTATCTTTGGTCTTAAAGTTCTTGTTTGACCTTGGTACGGTTAAAATTTGCTGTCTGTGATTACCCTATTTCTTGAGATGGCTTGCCTTCTAAAGCAATCGGTTAACACAGGGCAGCCATCTTACGGCCTGCGCCTGCAGCTTCACCCTGTGCTGGGCTGCCTCGGGGAGAAGGGCCACTGCCCTCCACAGCTTCGCAGGAGGGCAGGTTACACGGTGTGCTTGTTAGCGCTGCCTTCAGCTGCCACCCGATAAGAAGATTAAACTCTTATGCAAATCTCTTAAAGGCAGTTCTTCAGTCAGGAACTGTCCCAGAAGCATCAGAGCGGTTTGTACTTGACACACGCAGCGTTCCGCGTAACTCTCGGAGGCCTCGCGAATTATTTTTCATAATACCACCACTGAACTCGTCTCCCATCGCAGAGGCAGAAGGTTATTGTTTGGAGCTTGCTGTGTGTAACTCGAAGTCTCGATTCTGGCAGTGTGAAAGCTTTTGCTCGGTTTGTGGGAGAAATACTGTTGTTTTTCAGTCCTCCACTAGGCCCCACCTAAGGAGGGCGGTGGGCTGTTCAAATGCTGCCGGAGCAGGTGAGAGGGTGACTTGCTGGTAATTGGAATTTAAACATGTCATCAGTATGGCTTTCTGCCTGCTTCCCTTTTCTTTTGGATCTCTTTGAATTTGGGCAAAAGTTGGAGTACATGAAGAATTGTTTCCTGTATATTCTAATTTTAGACCTAGCACAATGTTTGGTTTATGCAGTCTTTTAAAATAACGTTGCGTGTAAGGCTCGTGTTGTCAGCTCTTGCAAAATTTGGAATTTTATCAGCACTTAGACATATGGTTTTACAAGGTTTTCCTGTGTTTTCTTTTTTTTGAGAAGCTCTCTGGTTACATTTTGTTTTCCTAAACATATATGGTTGCCAAACACAGGAGTTCATTAGGACTTCAGAAACTTTTTTTTTCATCTCACTTGAGTCCTTCTAAAAGCAGGTACATAACGGGGAGCTCTCAAAGGACAATCTACATGTAGGCTAGAGCTACTGTTAATTATTTTTTCTCCTCTTTTCCTGCAGGTTCATGTGTTCTCAGTTACCTAACCAGGTACTAAAGAGCATCAGTATCATTGACAGCCCTGGCATTCTCTCTGGAGAGAAGCAGCGCATCAGCAGAGGTGAGTTGCAGGGCTTGAAAATAACTGAGCTCACTATTTTTGCTGTACTGGACAGGTCATCATCCTTATCTGTTGGGGGCCTGTTTTAGTGGTTTTGAGTGGTGGTGTGTCCCAAACTTTCTTACAACAAGGCCTGTTAAACCCATGTTTTAAGGCTGGAATTAGGGTTTGGAATTTTTTCTCTTGAGAACTGGTGGGGTTGGGATTTCTATCATCCTGCAGCTATGGCTGCAAATGACTAAGGCTGCATGGTCTGTTGACTAATTAGTGTTTTGACACTCCTGAGAAAAAGCCTTATTTCCATCACTGTAATTGCTTTCCACAAAGTAATAATGAATAGGCTCTTACATATAGTATTGAAGTTCACGAATGAAGAAATATTTCATAAGCTATAGGTCTTCAAGTTAGTCGTGTTTAAAAACTGAGGGGTTTGGGCTATAAATGAGGTGCTTTTATTGTAGGCACAGCTGCTGGTGTTGCTTCTTAAGGTTGCTCAGTCATGTCGTAATACAATTTTCAGTCAAAAGAGTTAAGGTAGCAGGAGGAAGAGGGAATGAGAATTTTTTTTTAATAAAATGAAAATTTTGTGAAGAACTGAACTCTGTTTGCAACATGCTGTTTAAGAAATTAGCCTGTCTTTGAGAAACTATTAAAACAAAACAGCATGATGTAAATAACTTTCTTCCTTGTTTCCTTCAGCTGTATTCAAGTGCATGTCAGATGTTTCTGTGGAGTTGCAAATGGTAGTGATCCAGGGTGTGTGACTTACGCTGCTCTCTGTTTTCAGACCTTTGCTTAAGAAATTGAAACTTCTGTGTGTTTTGTGTCTTTGGGAGGGGGAAGTAATCACTACTTTAACATATCATACCTGGCATTTTCTGAGGAATCCTGGAATGAGCACAATATATGCCAGCTGTGCAACCATAGTCTTGTCTTTACATTGCACTCGCAGAATAAGAGACTTAAGACTGTGATCTGAACTATGCTTGCTTAGTAAACTTGTCTACTAGATGTTTCTGGATTCTTTGTTCAGTGTCTGAATGTGGGGTTTGTTCTCTTTATTGCTCAGGGTCACATAAAGCATTCATCATGGGGAGAAGAGCTGTGTTTTCCTATATGTGATATATTGGTGAACTAGCAGAGATGAACAGCAATGAGTGCTCTACATCTGTGCAAGCAAAGGCTTAAATGTTGCCAAACCAGATGAGCAAAACAAATGGTGCAAGTTGTCACTCTTATTTCTAGGCAGAAATGACCAAGTGTATAACTAATCATCTTTAATCTTCTCATAAGATGTCCACAAAATAAGTCTCAGTTTACACAGAGAGTCTGATAAAATCAAAGATGGTCTTAAATCTCCCACTTTTGCTTCTCCATTTTGGATTCCAGCTCCCTTTTTCCTCCACCAAGAAAAATCAGGCTCATCTTTCTCCCTTCTTGCTTCTTAAATCAAGGGAAAATAATACTTGGCAGCATTAAAGTATCTGCTGCCACTTCCATAACAGTATGGAAGTGAATGTAAAATTAGCAGAAAACTAGAGCATCGTGTTAATATGCCACTGAAAAAGTCAGCAGTTTTGTGACAAAATTCAACACCATTAAGGATTGCTGTGGAAGTCCCAGACTTCACGTGTGGGACAGTTGTGTTTCACTCCAGGTTATGTTTCACCGGTAGTTCTGTGTTGCTTAAAGGACCATGGCTCTTCACTGCCATCTAGAATTGCTCTTGTGACTTAACAGTTAACATACAACTCGTTCCTTTGCTTGGAATTCTTGATAGTATGTGCCTTATCAATTGTTTTTATGGCCTAGCTGGCCTGCCCTTTGGTATGGTAGACTTTTCACCTAAGTTGTCAGTGCTCAGTCATAACCTCAAACTCTTACCTGTTTCACAGGCTTTAACTTGACTCGTTTGCATTTCATGAATCTTTTTCCAATGCAGTAAGGATTGTCTTGAATACTTAACTTGGCATAATTCTTTTATCACAAATGTGGTTCTCCTGTATGCTGTTTAGCTTTAACCAGTGTAGCTTAGAGCACTTCTCTCTGTGCCCCAGGTTTGCAGGGCAGCTGCTGCCAAGGTTTAAGGTTTCATACACTCAGCCATCAGCGCACGAGGTACCTACAAGTTGCTGTATAAACCTATTGTATGTGCCTATTGCATGCTTTTATGATTAGGCAATACTGCACTCACCCATGTCTGAAATGTTGCATAGTCAGATACATTTCCTGTAATGACTTTTGGGCTGCCTACGCAGTTTCCATACAGGTGGTTTTGTGGAATACAAACTTGATTTGTCCTGTGGTGCTGCACACAGCAAGGCCTGTCTGACCTGCTTCCTGAAAGAGTCAGACTGACTTTAACATGTTTATGCTCAAAGTCCAATTTAGCATGTTTTGAAGTTTGAGTTGCTTAAATTCCTTTTTAAATCACTGTGTGTGAATATAAGCAGGATTCTACGAGATGTTTTCTGCTGTCCATACATGTGTGTCTGTCAGAGAAGGTTCTGTTTGTGGACCTTCAGACCAACAAAGGTTTTTTCCTTCAAAATGTGTGTTGTTAACCCTTAAACTCACTGGCTGCTTCTCACTGAAATAGGGTTCCAGCTGGTGTGCTTTGCTATGGGAACTGGCATTGCCTTTCACTCTGAAGATTATTTCAAACTTAAACATAGGGATGCTTTTCTGTGCTTGCCAGGAAAGCTCTTAAGTATACAGGGTGATTATTCAGAATTTCTTTTCTGGCAATTTCACAATTTTATATTTCAACATTTTATAGCTCAGCAATTTTTTTAAGCTTTTGTTTTCTATTTCTGTTTTAAACTTTTGTTTTCTTATGAATCTTGCTGCTATTTTCTAAATAATATATACAAGATGAGATTTTTCATAATTCAGTAATGGAATATGACATTTATTAACACCTGATAAGTATTCTTCAGTGCTCTCTGCACATTATTGGTGTCTGTTAATATCTGAGTTTTTAAATTACCTTTCTAGAAGTTTAGCTTGTTTCTAACATTGGTGAGCAGCAGCTTTTCTTACTGTTTTGATGTGTTTGACAGAAAAGTAACATTACAAGACCCCAGTGTAAAACCTTCATTCTTTGCTGTTGGTGTTTGGTTTTTTTTTTTCCATTTTCCCATGAGTAACTGCTTAACTATTTGATGTAACACCGCATAATGATAGAATTTGACAGGTGTCACTAGGAGTAAGGTGAAGCCTTCTGAGACTGAGCAAAGCAATCAAATGTTAACTTTCAGTTTTAAAATGCAGGAAAACAGTAAAGGGACTATGTAAAAATACAGGATATGCACTACTTCCCAGCATGTTTTATTTATAACTCTGGAAGGCATCCAGGCCATGGATGACGGAGCTGATTGCTTCTGAAGGGTCAAAAATATACATCGAGTACAACATTCAAAGCTGTCTCTCTTGACACACCTTTCCCGCTCCTGTTGTTGGCAGGAGGATGTGCCTGAAGCTTCCTGCCTGTCAGTTCAGGGGCTGCGTAAGTGGCTGGAGGGGAATGTGTAGACGTGTGCCAGCATTGTCCCTGTGCTGCTTCTGCAGCATCACTGGTGACGTTCACAAAGCCCGTGTCAGACAGAAATGTGCGTATGGTCTGCAAGATTTAGAAGGAACAATGAGCATAAAGAGAGGAGGAAGGCGAAGCAATGTCTGGCAGGGTGTGGGGAGGAACTGCTTGTAGAAAGGGAGGGTTTGGCTTGTGGTTGAGTGGCGTGAGGGCAAGGGTTTCAAGCAGTATGGGGAAAGAGCTCAGAGGAGAATATAGGATATTGGTTAGCTTGCACTTTTAGAACTGGAGTTACTTATATACAGGTCATTTTCTCAGTTCAGTCTGGCTTGTGAAAATATAGTCGTGGATTAAATAAGGTGGTATATATCCTTGCAGCATTGAGTCAGGCTCTCCATTGCAGTGAGACACTGCACATTTTCCTTGGGATTAGTCCACCAACAGGAGCGCAGTAAGAGTGTTATCCTGGAATGCTGGACTGAGGCAGGCTTTCATTAACATATCTGGAAACTTCCACCTCCGATGGCAAAAAGTGCATCTTTCCATGTGGGACTGAGCTCCATGTGGGACAGTTTAGATGCTCACCTGCAGCAAAGCCCTAGAAGAACAGCAAATTGCGGGGAGAAGCTGCTCCCGTCCACATCTGAATTGTGTGTTGTAGCCTTGGTTGTGTGGTACTTTGACAGCACGGGCAGGTGGGATCTCTGCAGCACTCTGCCTGCCCCTGATTCATCTCCTCAGTGGATATTGTTCTCCAAGCTTGGAGCCTCCTCATTGCAGCATTCGTCTGAAGGCACCTCTCTTCTGTTGTGCCAGTAGTGCCAGCCCCGGGGATGGAAGAACTGGACACTGCCTGTCTGTGCTTGCAGACAGTGGATGGAGCCCATCAAGCCTCCCTAATTGTTTTCTGAATTGCAAAAGCTTTGGGAGATGGTATTAGGGCAAGTTGGAAATTATTTACGTTGGGCCCACAAGGGAAAGCCTACTATTTGTTTAAATCTTTATTACTAACTGGCACAGAAAATTGACCCACGCTCATACTGCATGATTACACAGCTGTATCTTTGAGTATGGCTGGTGGCTGTCATGCACAGGGCTGATACTTTGCCCTGTGCCAATGACACATGAGAGCTCATGATGATTCCTCTCATCAGTGTTTCCAGGGTTGGTAACCATGTGCAGTCCCTCTCAAACTTTTTCATCTCTTCTGTTTTGTTCTCCTCTGTGATCTCTGCTCAGCCTGTTACTGATGCCCAACAGTTAGGCCTCCCTTGGCGGCTTCAGCTTGCTCCCTCGCTGCAGCCTGGGACAAGCTCAAGAGCTCTGCAGTGCTGCTGGTGGATTGCTGCTTCCCTCTGCCCCTTAGCTGGGTACAGGGGTGACTTGTGACCTCCTAATGTGCTGCTTCAAGTAGATGATGTACCTGGTGAGACATAGATTCTCAGGCTGGATATAATTGCTGACATCAGTCATTGGAACAAACCTTTGAAGAAATAGCAACAGTAGAGCAGCAAGAGTCTTGAGAAGTATAAACACCAGTTTTTTTTTTGGTAAGGTTTTCCAAAATGCTCAGTGTTGACCTAGTACTGCTTGACTTTGAAAGCCCTAATCCACACATATGTACTGTGTATGACAGGATCCTAAATGCATTGTGTCTCAGTGCTGTCCTGTGTTTCCTTTCAAGATCGTTGCTTTGACTGATGGGACAGATCTGCATTTTGTTCTCTGTGGGGACAGGGTAGAGAAATCATGAAATCAACCGTGTGAAACTCTTGGCTGAAATATTTAAGCATATGTCATTTCTCTGTAGTTCAGATATACTCTAATGTGTAACTACTGAACCTGTATATAGAATAGGTTTACTTCTAACAACAAATTTTTCATTAAAATGAATAGGTTTTTTAGGTTTTTTAATTAGATCTTTTTCTTACCAGTTTTCAACAAGTGAACTCTTCTTTCTCAAAGCAAAGGCTTCATTAATACTTAATTAATATTTAAAATTAATTTATTGCTAGTTAGTGTATACTTGTTGACAATACAATTGTTTTTACAGTTCAAAACATACCAAATGTCTGGTGGGAATTTATATATTTAAGCAGTCTTATAAGTCACCTTTTCATCTATTGATGGAAAACTTAACAGAATTTGACTTGCTTAATTTTGTAATTTAATGTATTTCATTTCATGCAGATTTCCTTCTACATGAGTGAAATCAGAACAGATTATTGCATAGCTCAGATTTTCGCATAGCTCAGATTTGTGCACTGTTGGAACTGTGTTGTGACATGCAAGTGACATACAAGATCTCGCTTCTCCCTTCCTTTCCTGCGAAATTTCTGTAAAGATAAATTATTCTTACTGGTTTTGATAAGATTGTTAGTGCAAAGTGAGAAGAGTTCTCTTCGAGATATATTTTGTGCAGCTCTCCTCCTTGGCGTCACCTTTCATCTCCTGTTTAGCTCTTCAGGAACTGGTCACAGGAAAGAACACATGAAGGAACCAGAGCAGCATTATGTAGAAAAGGGCTGGACTTTGCATTCCTTACAAAGTAAACCTTTTAATGGGAAAGGTTATGTTGGCTTTTTTTAATAGCCAGTTAATGACTGTGACCTGCACCCTTTTGGATGCTAATAATACCTTTTTAGCATAGTCCTCTCTTTTCAGTTTGATGAGTCTGTGCTAGATTTTTAGTGAAGTTTTATGATCACTATTTTTGAAAGGTGGGGGGCAGGTAACTAGGGACATTTTCTTACTATTAACTAGAATTTCTGGATTTAATTTCATATGCTGTTTATCATTTTTAAACAAAATATTTAAGACTGAGTTCTTTCCTGTGTTGCTAATGCTCCATGACAAATCTGGAGTTCACCATTTTTCCTAGTACTTTCCTGTATGTCTGCTTTTCTTGATGTTGGCCCTAGTCAGGTTGTACTGTAAAGCAAAAAAAAACTGATTTGCTTTTGCGTTCTCTGTTGAAGACCGACAACTTGAAGGCATAGTGAATAAAGACTTGACTGAACCAACATGGTTTTAAGAAAAGCTAATTACCTTTACAGTGTCCCCATACCCTGTTATTTATACTGTTTAAAAGATGCCAGGGAGGAGTGGTGAAGAGTGTTTTGTTTGTATCCAGACCAGGTGTATGAAGTGTTTGTATAATTGGTTCAAGTGTAAGTAGTCTAAGTGGGTTTTCTTTGCTGGGAGATTGGAGGTTTAAAGGCTTATCTTACACAGCTGAGAAATGAGCAAAGACACCCTGGAGGGCTCACTGGTGGTAACTGAGCTTTCTTTGCTGTCGGTATTTAAATATATGCTGCTGGAGGCAGAAATCAATTCTGTTTGCGTTATTTTACACCATTTCTTGCATTTGGACTGCTCCCTCTTTTAGCTATGATTTGTTTCTTAGAGGAACAGGAGGGGTGGGATGTCAGCACCCAGCTCATACCTTGCTGTTCCTTGCTCAAACAAGATGAGTCACATTCATGCCAAGCCCAATGCCACATCAGTAGTGGTGACTCTTCGCAGATTAAATGTGTCACTTCTGAATGAGTAGCTCCTGAATACTGCTTGTTGTGTGGATTAGGCTACCAGCTGCATTTATAAAAGCATTCAGACAGGTGCTACAGATAGGCTTTCCTTTAGGATTTTAAAAAGTTTTGTTTCAGATGATCAGAAAGGTCACTGCTCATTGTGTTCTGTAACCCATCACGTCCTCAAAGCGATCAGCAACGCAGGCACATTGCTCGTAAATTTGATCTCTGAGTTTGCTGTGGTAGAAATAACAGCAAGTGTTGAAATGCAAGGAGAGGCGGGTACAGAAATGGTTTTAAAATCCAAATATTTTTGGTTGCTGACTTATGCTGGAGTGCTGCACGTGCGCTGTTTTCCTTGTTAGTACAGATAGGCAGTGCTACCAAAGGGGTCAGTGTTAGCGGTGATGAAGAGAGCTTGTGATAAGAGCCCCACAGAGCTGCTTAGCTTGGGTGCTCTGCTGGAGCCAGAAGTCCTGGGAAGAGGAAAACTTATGTGAGACAGTAACACAGCAGCAGAAAAGACAGTGACATAGGAGATGGATGGCAAGGTTGAAGAAAGGGCAGTGATGAAAACAAAAGGCAGTAGTAGTGAGACCAGTCTAAGGAAATGTAGGATACAGTTGTCCTGACCTCATTGTCTTCAGACACTCTCCTCCAAGTGGTCCATCTCCTCTTTTTCCCCAGGTAGATGTTATGATGCCCGTGTTCTCCATCCCCAGCCCTACCTTCTCTGAGACTCACTTTTCTGAACAGTAGGACTGTAATAGTGTATTCTTCCTTCAGGCTATGACTTCTGCCAAGTCCTCCAGTGGTTTGCTGAGAGGGTCGACCGCATCATCCTCCTTTTTGATGCTCATAAACTGGATATATCTGATGAGTTTTCAGAGGCTATTAAGTCATTTCGGGGCCAGGATGACAAGATTCGAGTGGTGCTTAACAAGGCTGACCAAGTGGACACACAGCAGCTGATGAGGGTCTACGGTGCGCTCATGTGGTCCCTGGGAAAGGTGATCAACACTCCAGAGGTGCTGCGGGTCTACATTGGCTCCTTCTGGGCCCATCCTCTCCGAAACACAGAGAATCGAAGACTCTTTGAAGCTGAGGCACAGGATCTTTTCAAGGATATCCAGAGTCTCCCGCAGAAGGCCGCTGTGCGGAAACTCAATGATCTCATTAAGAGGGCGAGACTTGCAAAGGTAAGAAAAGAGAAAAAACCTAAATTAATTGAATGAGCAGTCTCTTCTGTTTCTTTCAGTGTGTCCTTTCTCACCCTTCCCAATCTTTCTCTACCTATAAACTGTGTGTTTTTCAGCAAATGGATTGAATTGTCAGTTTTTCAAGAAAGAGGTAGTGACTCAGGACATAGAAGCAAGTAGGAGGAAATGAAGACTTGTACTGGGATGCCTCCCTAACTTTAGAGAAGGGAGTTTATGCTTTTTAGGTCATTAAAACTATTGTTTGCTTGGTAGGGGAGTGAATTTTTTTTTTTTTCACACTGTGCAGCGAGGTAATCTTAATGTTACTTTTTGGAGATAAACCACTTTTTTTTTTTTTTTTAAGCAATAACTAATATGTAGAGAACATTTAAAAAAAGGGGGGGGCAAAAAAACACAACCAAAACTGTTCACATGCAGCCTTCCATATGCTTTTTTATATATTAATGCCTTAATGCATACTGTCAATTAGCTGCTGTGGAAATACTTTAAGTGCATTTATGTTATACCCTGGAATACAAGACTGACTAAAAGCCTCACTCTTGATGAAGCAGAGGTACTGATGAATCGGAGAGGTGTTTGTGCATTAGACTGAAACTCTTGAGCCACTCGGATTATATCTTCTTCATTCCCAGTTCAGAGGCACTTGGGTGATACGGACTTCATATGGATATGATATGGATATCATATGGACACGATATGTCATTGTATCCAGAAAAAACTCTCTCTTTATCCAGGAACATGAGTTGTGTGCCCTGCTGTAGGTAGCCCCTGTCACCATTCCCCTTGGTTTTGGCTCTGGAAGGGTACATGCATTGTGTGTAACTTACTGTCACTAACTAGTGTGTGTGAGCAGACTGTGTGTGACACACTGTGACTGTCTACAGCTGACTGTTTAAAACGTGTTTAATTTTTTGATAGGTCTCTAGTTATCTTTCAGGAATGAGTGGATATCACTTCAAAGCTTTGTGAATTATCACCAGGTTTTAATTACCTACCTTTAAAACCTTCTGGTTATATTTTACACTAATCTTCAGACTCCCTGATTAACAACACTAGCTTTATCTTTCCTTTCTTCTTACAGCCTGACTAGAATAAGCGTTGGTTGCCATCTGAAATATTTCTTTGCCTGTTTCTCTGATTCTACAGTGAGTTTCTTCTATTGTAGCACTGCAGCTGCTGTTAGAATAATAGTTAAAAGCACTGGCAGGCTTCTTGTTGTTTTGAAAAGATCAGGAGCAAAATGAAAATTGGTGATTCAAGAATTATGATTTGTCATTTGGAGAATTGAAAAAGAAGGAAGTCTAACCTCAGAAATACTTGGGGAGAAGACTGGTGGTGCCAGACACAAATTCTGACTTTAAAGTATGTTGTTATTTCCTATGCAGTTATAAGACAGAATATGAGTTAATGCAGTTGTCTTGGAACACATTTTCACATGGACTTCTAAGCAAACATGTAGAGTACTTGCACTTACATTGATATAAGAATAGTCATATGGGCTTGTATACCACTTCCTATGTTGTCTTAATTAACTCCCTGAATATAATGATACACTTAAAGTTGGGGTTTTTTTGTGTCCTGAGCTTTAGGGCACCCCATAGCAGTTGCTGCTTTGAAAATTCCATTTAAAATCACATCCCTGATGATATTGTGTTAAAAGTTGCTATAATCTCAATCTGTTTGGTGAATGTTGTTGGTAGCTTTTTTCTTTCATTTCTTACAATTGTTTTGGAAGTGGAAAAGTGTCAGATGGATTGTTTTTAGGTGTTTCTATATAATGTAAAATAAAAATGGACAAAGGTGAATACAGGGCTCATAAGGCATGCTGATTAGACAGCTGTGGGAGAGGAATAAACTGTTTATCTGCAGGAAAAGAGCAATGTAATCTTTCTAGTGTTGTCTGTCTTCCAAGCTGAACTTAAAGTACTAACACTCAGGAGTAATTTTTTACATTGCATGGTATTTTTTTGTTACTTCTATGCCACTCAGTTCTTAATCTCTTCTAAAACGTGTACAGTAACCAAAACCAAAAGCAAACTGTTAACTTGCTGTCAAAATTTTGGGCATTAGGCTTTTTCTTTTTTTTTTTATGTCCTGTGACTCACTATCCCATTTTGAAGATGGGAACTGTTCTTATCTATAAGAAACACATGTGCATACTGGCAGAACTTAGACCACTTAGCATACACATGTGAAACTGTTCGTGCTTGTGAACTATAAACATACTTTTCTGGTTTTGTCAGAATTATTATTTTAAACATAAGATCCATAAAATTACTTATTTATAAACTCTCTTAGAAATATACTTGTTGAATCAATTCTGTCATTCTGGAGAAACATGCATATCTACAGTATTCAAAAATTTCATGGTTTTATGCAGAAACTCTGCTTCTTTATGTTTTTTTTTTTTCTTCTCTGTAGAAATTTAAATTTGTCTGCAATTAAAATGCATGCACTCTTTTTAGATATGAGGAAATGATGTTGTGTGAAAGTTGTGATCTTAAGATATACAAACTGGTTACACTATGTTTCTTTAAAAACAGAGGTTTGTTTTTTCAGTTTCCAGTAGGTCTCCTAAATAACTAAGGAAAGGAATGGGAGAGCATTTTCCCTGTACAGATTGTGTAAGGTTTGTATAGAATACTATAAAGCACATTCTGTGGTATTTTGGTAGGTATTAATTATTATATTTACACTACAACTACATAATCACTTTTTTTAATGGATGCTTTTTTGTGGTAGTCTTTCTTCTCCCAGTCTTCAAAATTTGCCCTTTTTCACTGCTCAGTGGTTTGATAGACATTCTTATTTTTTAACTTTTTTTCTGTATGTGTGAAAATTGTATGTAACTTCTGTTTTGGGAACAGCTGCATCCTTTTTTAATAAAGAAGGACCCAAGTTCTGTAAAGATTTATCCTGTTGTGGAGGTCATTTGACCTTAGTGATCCTGGCCAGGTCAGAGCTTAGGAAAGCAGTTTGATTACTTCAAGTTGTGATAGATGTGCATTGCTTCTAAAAGAAGGCTGCTCTTGAACTTCCCTCTTGTGTGCAGCGTGAGTATCTGTGTCCACGCAATGAACTGGACAAGTGAACACACCTCAGTTAAGAAGTGAAACCCACCATTTCTGTCCTGGACCAGATCACTCGCTGTGTGGCCACGCAGATCCTTTTGGTGGTGAAAGGTGGTGGAAGGGTGCTAAGGGGAAAAGATGAATGGCTCAGTAGGGGTAAGGTTGGAAGGAGGGTGTGTGGGCTGGATGGATGTTTTTGTGGCAGTGCTGCATTATCTTGATCACGGTAGCTAGGAAACTTGCAGAGCTCTGCAAGTATCAATGTGTTTTAGGACTTGTCATCCTAAATTAATGTCTTTCCTTACATGCTGTAAAGGCTCTGTGTTTTTCCCCTAAAGCTTCACGAGGCAGGCATGGCATGCGCTCTTAATAGTATACTGACTCCTCTGTCATCCTCTGGTGGCTGCATAAATATAGGCAATAGGTACTCACTTTTCTGGGAGTAGGAATGCGGTATCACTTCAATTAGATAGCCTTGCCACTCAGCATACTTGGATTACTTGAGGCACTATCCCATTGCTTTCCACAATAATTGATGAGGCAAATAGAGTTACAAATCTCTACCACCGAGGCAGATGGACCAGTATGGCTGGTGCTCTGTGTATGATCCATGTATGTGGTGTCAGGATGTGGTTTTGGGGCCTTGCTTTTGCTCTCACTGTTAGTACTGATAAAGTGCTGTACCATGCTGCCTCTTAAACTGCAAATGTACATCTGTATTTCTTTTAAACATGTTTACTTTCTCTCTGCCCCTCAAAGGAATGTTGAAAGGAACAAAACCTAGTTGATAACTATTCATGTAAATGTGAAGTGCCAGAAACAATCATTGATAATATCTTATCCTAGAGGTGACTTAGGGAAACATATTACTTCTGTTTCTTTTTATGACCTGGGAGAAGAATACTAATGTTAAGAGTGGGTAAACAGTAGTATTGATTTCAGTTTTGCTGCTTCTTAGGTTCATGCTTATATCATCAGCTATCTGAAAAAAGAAATGCCCTCTGTATTTGGAAAAGAGAACAAGAAGAAGGAACTGATCAGCAGATTACCTGACATCTACATCCAGCTGCAAAGGGAATACCATATCTCAGCAGGAGACTTCCCTGAAGTCAAGAAAATGCAGGTAAGATGATGGATTACAGTTCTACTGGAAAAATACAAACTTTCCAACAGATTGTCAAATTGGAAAAGCATTATCATTTAGGGTGTTCAGCAGTAGAGCAGCTGAAGTGACAATCATCATGTGTCTGTTATGGGGTTAGCCTGACTTGGAAGCAGTGCAGAACAAAAAAAAAATTGGTAACTTGCTTAGTGTGCATCTGATATAGGACTATAGAAACGGCGCAATGTCAGAGTGGAGATGAGTGACGAGTGGTATCCTTCAGGGGTCTGTATTGGGACCAGTACTCTTATTTTCATTAATGACATAGACAGTGGGATTGAGTGCACCCTCAGCAGGTTTGCAGATGACACCAAGCTGAGTGGTGTGATTGACACGCTTGAGGGATGCAATGCCATCCAGAGGAACCTGGACAAGCTCCAGGAATGGGCCTGGGTAAACCTCATGAGGCGCAACAAGGCCAAGTGCAGGGTCCTGTACCTGGGTCAGGGCAACCCTCAGTATCAGTACTGGCTGGGGGATGAAGGTATTGGGAGCAGGCCTGCCAAGGAGGACTTGGGGATACTGATGGATGAAAAGCTGGACATGAGACAGCAATGTTCACTGGCAGCCCAGAAGGTCCACCGTGGCTGGGCCGCCAGCCAAAGCAGCGTGGCCAGCAGGTCGAGGGAGGGGATTCTGCCCTTCTACTCCACTCTGGTGAGACCCCACCTGGAGTCCTGCATCCAGCTCTGGAGCCCTTAGCACAGGAAAGGACATGGACCTGTTGGAGCGGGTCCAGAGGAGGACCACAGAAATGGTCAGAGGGATGGAGCACCTGTCCTAGGAGGACAGGCTGAGAGAGTTGGGGTTGTTCAGCCTGGAGAAGAGAAGGCTCCGGGGAGACCTTATTGCAACCTTCCAGTACTTAAAGGAAGGGGGCCTATAAGAAAGATGGGGACGGACTTCTTAGCAGGGCCTGTCGCGACAGGGCAAGGGGTAATGGTTTTAAACTAAAAGAGGGCATATTTAAACTAGACACAAGGAAGACATTTTTCCCAGTGAGGGTAGCGAAACCCTGGCACAGGTTGCCCAGAGAGGTGGTAGATGCCCCATCCCCAGAAACATTGCAGGGCAGGTTGGACAGGACTCTGAGCAACCTGATCTAGTTGATGATGTCCCTGCTCATTGCAGGGGGATTGGACTGGATGGCCTTTAAAGGTCCCTTCCAGCCCAAACTATTCTATGAAATTGTCATAAGGGATCAGACTTTCTGTACTTTTAGTCAATATTTGGTCCCTTGTGAGAAATATTACTAAAGGTTTTGTGCAAATAAAATGGCAGTGGACGCTTATGGGTTAAGCTGATTCTTGTTTTGTGTCCTAGATGTGTGTTTTTATATCACTTTTGTAATGCTATCAGATACTTGCATAGGTGAAGATACCCTTAGTCACACATTATTCACTTTTATCCTACTCTGTTCTTGGCTCTTACTGATACTATTTGCTGGTGAGTAACAAAGGCAATGTGTTACCTGATAAGTCCAGCTTAAAACTTTTCGCTTCTGAAAATAGTGCTTGCCTGTTTTTCTCCCTGTCCTTTTGAGCTTGTATTCTATGAAGAAGAGAGGTAGTTGTTCTCAATTTGTACTCTTGCTGTTAATTTTTAAATACCTTTTGTCTCTTGTTTCTTTTTTGAACTTTATGCAACCTTATTACTAACTTTCTGTCACTTTCTCACCTTTTTATTTGTCCTCTGATTTAAGGTGAGTTGTTTAGAAACAAACGATAGTATCTTAGTAATCTTATCTTCAGCTTGGAAGCTGAAGAACATGAGATCAGGAGCCTGCAGTTTGGTCTGACCATGGGCTAGTCATGAGTGTGGTGGAGAATGTTTTCTGAATCGACATTTGCATATCGTTCTGAAAATTTATGTGCTACATTTACACTGCTAATCATAAAGAGTGATGACTGGCTGATTAACCCACCTACAGTGATGCACAAGTTTCTTTTATGAACTAAAATATTTAACTTGGGAATTGATTATTGGTATGAGACAGTAAATTATAGATGAAGCACAAGATCTGTTTCAGCTAGGTTTTCACAGGCAGGGTTGCTGGAAGAGTTTAATGAGTTAGGTTTTAAAAGGGGTTAGAGTGGAAAAAGTTGACTCTTTTTTTCCCTTGCCGCTTTTGTTGGTGATGGGGAATGAGAGAACGAGAGGTGATCACTTGTCAGTTTGGGTATTGAAACAAAACTTGAATGGAACTTTATAAAACTAACAGCGCATGTCTTTAAGCCTCAGCAGCAGATGGCAGCAAATATATACATGAGAGATCAGTCACTTCTGTAATGAGGAGCAAAACTGTGAGAAAACAAAGTAGTGCCAAAATAGATAGCACGTTTGACCTTTGCTTTCTAAGATTTATTGCATATCATAAATTTATACTGATAAGTTGCCGTAAATCAGGTGATTTCTGTATAAATGTCACCTGAACAGTGATGGTTGTTGGTTGGTGGTTTTCCTCTAAGAAATCCAGAGTTCTGTGTGCATGGGCAAAACCACTCATCTGTGCTTCAGGTTTCTTGGGTTCGTATTGTTATACTTCTGACATGTATGGGAGCAGCTCCCTGAGATGATAGATGTAATTTGTCAAAGCAGTTTAATGCTCTTTTGAGAGGGGTTTTTTAACAGTTTCCACTGTAACTCTGTCTTCCTGGCCAGCATTTTGCATGTAGAAATCATTCAATAATTGCCTAAAGCGTTTTTAATTTTTCAACGCTCTGGTGTAAAACATGCTGGGGCTTGTGTTGAGACAGCACATATCACCTAGTTAAACAGCTCATTGAGGTTAGTAGGAGTTTATGTACAAGATGAAAACTCGGCAGGGACCGTATGACTTCATGAGTTCTGGCAGCACTTCTATAAAAATACTGCTGTTATCCTAGCTCAGTTTTTCTTTACTGGTAAAGGATGTTTCTTCATGACCTAACCACAAACAAGAAGTTTAATCTATAAAATCAGATCAGTCCCGCAAACTCTTGGATTTATTTTTAACTTAAACACTTGTATAAGTGCTAGCAGGACTGAGGGCCTAATTGCATGCTTTCTTTGATGTTTGGAAGAAAATCACCAAATGGAAAGTTGTTAGATAACATTCATCAGCTGCCATGTTTGTATGCATTGCCACTTTGTGAAAATTGTAAATGTAATTTAACAGACCAGCTCATACAGTGTTGCAAAATTGTCTTAGTGTATTTCACCAATATATTAGGCGTATGATACATACGTGTCAGCTTTGCTTCTCCTTCAGGAGGAGCTTTGGTTATGCTTCAAAAGATAACAGATACCTGTCTCAATGTATCGGAAGTTTTTTCTAACTACTGTCACTGAAACCCTTGTCATTAACAGGAGCTGTTGGAGACTTGTGACTTCACTAAATTTCACTCTTTGAAACCAAAGCTAATTGAAGCTGTGGATAACATGCTGGCCAACAAAATTGCCTCCCTGATGAGCCTGATCAGTCAGGAGGAGAGCAATATGCCCACAGAGATGGTACATGGTGGAGCATTTGATGGCACCATGGCAGGACCTTTTGGCCATGGATATGGAGAAGGTGCTAAGGAAGGAGCTGATGAGGACGAATGGGTTGTTGCCAAAGATAAACCTGCTTATGATGAGATTTTCTACACTCTGTCACCAATCAATGGCAAAATATCTGGGATCAGTGCAAAGAAGGAGATGGTGACTTCTAAACTACCCAACAGTGTCTTGGGGAAGATCTGGAAACTTGCAGACTGTGATGGTGATGGGATGTTGGATGATGAGGAGTTTGCATTAGCAAAACATCTTATCAAGATTAAACTGGATGGATATGAACTGCCTGGCACGCTACCTTCCCACCTGGTGCCACCATCTCACAGGAAACCTTTGCAGACAACAGAGTGAAAAATACAAGAAGAATGAGGATTTTGGAAATCTTTCAACAAATGTGTTGAAACCACCAAAATTTTAAATTAGGCTTAGATCCTTAAACCTCACAGCACATTTCACGCAAGTTACTGAAATTGGAAACATAGTAGCAGGGAAACATTGGTGTAGTTGTTCCTGCTGGCCTTCACTGAGACATGCTTATCACAAGTGCCTTGTATAAATCTATCATAATGTGTGATGGTAAGGTGAAAATGTTTTTGTAGTCCTGCTTCTATGTCTTGCTGCCTTTACAACCATAAAACAGAAAAGACCATGTATAAAAATCACTGACCTTCATCAAACCTAAATACTTTTATCAACCATAAGTTTCTCCAAACTATTTTAAATAGTGCTGGGAAGCTCTAAATGCTAAATTCACCTGCCTATGCAAGGGACATTTTTGATGCTAAAAACATACTTCAGGCATCAAGTGAATGTCAGCATCTCTGTAGTTTTAAGAAAAGGCAGATATAAAAGGAAATTTTATTTTTGTTCTTTTTTAATTTAATTGGAGTAGAAAAAGAAGAGTAATGGAGAGAGTCTTTCAAGTGCTCAGAATATGAGCAGACTTGTTTTAAAACTTTGCTGGTTATAGGTAAAATTGCAAAATATCAAAATGAGTCTTTCAATCTGTCATCATTGTGTCTTGTTATCTGAAGAACTACTTCTTCGGTTTTATACAGCACTATATACTCAGTATTATCGTTAAAAGAATGGAATCTCCATTGTTCCTTGCATTTGTAGTTTCTTTTGGGGCTTCAGTTTAGCTGCTCTGCAGGCAATAAATTCCTGAGTTGTTCAAAGTGACAGCAGAATGTTTTCATAAGCTAAAAATAGAGGGGGGGGGAAGCACATTTCCATTGAAATCAAACCTCACTTAGTGTTCTGAAAAGGTGCATTGCTCAAAGTCAGCCTCTTCAAAGCACATCAAATTGTCTCGGGAAATTTTCAGTGGTATTTAATTTCTATTTACAGGTAATTATATCATTATCTCTGAATATTTTTGTATATATCATATTTTTAAGAAAAGTTTTTAGCTCTTTCTTTTGTCAATATGTAGCTGATAACCACAGAAGAGAGATTCAATTCCTATGGTGGCAGATTTGAAAGATGGAGGAGGTTAACAGGAATCTTTACATTGACTGTAATAAACGATAGACTGCTCCCTCCAAATATTACTCCTTTATTGAAAACAATCCATGAAAGGAATGGATGCTTAATAAACACTCATTTTCCTAATGACGCAATCAAAGTTGAACGTATTGGCTGCTTACAACTGATTTTTATCAGTACCTTAAAAGAACATAAATTTTTGGCCCTGTGAGCTTCAGTCTTTTGGGGAGGGCCAGTTTTTTTCTAAAATCAAACTTGGCAGTCAGTTTTACTCTATGCATATGAGCAAGAATTGACTTGTACTGCATTTGTAGTATGAAATACCCTTCACATCAAAGGTACTGTAATTGCGAGCGCTTTTTCTTTGAGTCTCAGTAAATGGTAGCAGTAGTGCCTTCTGAGGCAGAGCAAGCCAAAAAGTGTTTTAGCATCCTTGCAGTAGGGGTGGGGAGGGAAGTAGTTTGGGTATTATCTCCCAGCTAAGATTTATATGTTCGGATTTGTAGGTCACCTAAGAAGAGCCTCAGCTTCTTTTTTCAAATTGTACACAACACAGATTGTCAGTCAGGTTTAATACTTCACATCTTTCCGGACCTCTTATCTTTCTGCTTCTGTTCTATTCTGATATGAAATTACCATGAACTTTGCCAGGGATCTACCATGTGAAAACAACGAAGCTATTTTAAGTAATGACAGAACACCTTTACCTTGCCAGGCTTCCTGGCTTGTATCAAGGATATCCTGGCATAGTCAAACTGTTCTTGAGGACTTGCTTGCTTTTTTTAATTTTTAGATTTTTCTCTTATCCAGGCATACCAAGTGTATTTGTTAGACCTAAATTAGGAGCCAACTTAGCCTTAGTGCATCTCTGTGCACTTTAGTAGAGCTGTGAAACTTGACCATGAGTCTACCTGTGTGACTGTACATCCGCAGAGTAACTGATTTTCTATGTAATTTATTTTTGATTGAACAAAAGGTTGTCTATAGATATCACAGGAGTTGTTAAAAAAAATCAGGGTGCGGTAGTAATAATGTGTGCTTGTTTGTATGTAGTCTCTGGAGGCAGTAGTAAGTTCATACACTAATGACCCGCCTGAGTAGCTTAGAAGGAAAGCCACTGGGAGAAAGAAAGCAAGCTTTTGTATCGTGACTACCGTAGTGTGAGAGGATCTGGGAAGCTGCTGATCTTCCGACTGTCTGCCTTACCTTGCTCTTCAGGCGCACAGCGTTCCAGGGTAGACCGTTGTTTGAATTCCCACCATGTGTAGCTTCCGGGGTGATGCTCCAAATGCATTGGAGCCATATGATCCCATGCCAGTAGAAACATCCTCTTTCAGTAAGAGGAGCAGGATAGTTTCTCAGTGATTTTATTTTATTTTTCTAGCTTTACTGGTAGTAAAATGGAAAACACAGCATTTTCTTCAGACTCCATGAGAGTGTCCTAACTTGGACTTAAGGCAGACAAATTGAAATGCATCATTTTTATAAGGTAAAATATCTTGTCTAGATGGGGTTGTGTACTGGGTTTGCGTGGCAAGGTTTTGGTAGCAGGGGGCTGCAGGGGGGGCTTCTGTGAGAAGCTGCTAGAAGCTTCCCCTATGGCCAAGAGCCAATGCCAGGCGGATCCAAGAAGGACCTGCTGCTGGCCAAGGTCGAGCCAATCAGTGATGGTGGTAGCGCCTCTGGGGTAACATATTCAAGAAAGGGAGAAAAACCTACTCAACAGCAGCTGAAGAGAGGAGTGAGAATATGTGAGAGAAATGACTCTGCAGACACCAAGGTCAGTGAAGAAGGAGGGGGAGGAGGTGCTCCAGGTACCAGTGTAGAAATTCCCCTGCAGCCCATGGTGAAGACCATGGTGAGACTGGCTATCCCCCTGCAGCCCATGAAGATCCACGGTAGAGCAGATCTCCACCTGCAGCCCGAGGAGGACCCCACGCCGGAGCGGGTGGATGCCCAAAGGAGGCTGTGTCCCTGTGGGAAGCCCGTGCTGGAACAGGCTCCCGGCCGGCCCTGTGGACCCGCGGAGAAAGGGGGGACCTGTGGACCTGTGGAGAAAGGAGCCTCTGCTGGAGCAGGTTTGCTGGCAGGACTTGTGACAGGCTGGAGCAGTCTGTTCCCGAAGGACAGCACCCTGTGCAAGGGACCCACACTGGGGCAGTCCGTGAAGAACTGCAGCCTGTGGGAAGGACTCATGGAGAAGTTTGTGGAGGACTTGACTCCTGTGGGAGGGACTCCACACTGGAGCAGGGGGAGTGTGTGAGGAGTCCTCCCCCTGAGGAGGAAGGAGCGGCAGAGACACCGTGTGATGAACTGACTGCAACCCCCATTTCCCATACCTCTGTGCCACTGGGCAGGGTGGAGGTAGAGAAAATTGGGAGTAATTTGAGCCCAGGAAGAAGGGAAGTGGGGGGAGGTGTGTTTAAGATTTTGGTTTATTTCTCATCCTACTCTGGTAATAATTTAAATTAATTTTTTTCCCCAAGTTGAGTCTGTTTTGCCCATTACAGTAATTGGTGAATGATCTCTCCCTGTCCTTATTTTGACCCATGAGCCTTTCTTTATATTTTCTTTTTCCTGTCCAGCTGAGATGGGGAGTGATAGAGCAGCTTTGGTGGGCATCTAGCAGCCAGCCAGGGTCAACCCATCACAGGTTGAAATGGTTTGTTTTCCTGTGGAATGTGGAAGGGGAATGTACAAAGCATGTGTAAGAGTAGAGGTGGATTTGCTCTGTTTAACTGGAGGAATAGAAGTGTTTCAGGATCAGCATGCAGAGCTATATGCATAAATACCTTTCTAGATATGTGGTGCAGTGCACTAGCATCGTACTTAGTTGATAGGAATAGAGAACATTTCAAGTGGACTTTAAACAGCAGTATCTTGCATGGCTAAACTGATACAGTAGTTTGCTGTTGCTCAAGGGAAGGGATCTCTTTCTCACTACCTCCTCGCATACCTATGGATCTGCTCTATTTGCCTTGCTGGCTCTCTGGCCAGATCCTGCAAGCCCATTCAGTTAGTTAAACCAGCCACATGCAAGTTTGGATAATGTTCTGTGGCATTACTGAGTCCATGTGTTGGGAGCATGAGAAGAGAGCAGGATTACCTTCTCATGAAATTGTGCTCTAAGTAGTTATTGGGAACAGCAGTATGAGGTAATCTTTCGTATTCAGTTTGATGTTACTGATACCTGCTGAAGAAAGACTAAGATGTTGGATTTATTGGCCATTTCATACCTAGGATTTTGATTACATTTCCTGCAAGACCATTCAAAACTGTCAGTAATTCATCCTGTGAAATCAGTGCCTACTGCTGTAGCCTGCTGCCATAAACCAAAGTAGAGACTGCTGCTTTTACACAGAGTTTTAATTCCCAACCCTAGCGTTCCCTCAGAAATTAGACAGTTGTAGATTGGAACAGAAAGTGAGGGGCTACTGCTCATAACCACACTACAAGACAGCAAGAGCCTTTTAAAGCTGTGACAGCTTGAAAATGGTGAGTTTACAAAGATTTTGTAGGTCAAGGTGAGGTCCCAGTTGTTGGCTGGGGGTGGTATGGATTTGTGTGGAACTTGGTCTCAAAGCAGCACTATCTGGTCCTTGACTTTCAACAACATTGTTCATTCCCCAGTACTTGAAATGCGCCCTCCTTCTTCTCCCTTCCCTTCACAATGTGCCCTCACTTTGGTTGCTCTTTATATTCTTGGAATTCAAGTAAAGTGTTTGAATTGTATGGTTTGCTGGGTATGTGTAAATTAGCACTGAGAGAATGAACATGAACTTTGTTTTCTACTTCACATACTCACCTTTTCTAATATTTTTGTTAAATACTGTGTTTTCACTTCAAAGACACTCTGCTTTTTGAGGGAGGGATTGATCTGTGCAGTGCTTCAGTTTGTCCAAGTAGGCAAGCAAAGTTGTAAGTTCATTAATGTTGCACTTTTATTACACAATAAATTCCTTGCAGATAACTGTAAAATATTTTAATATGCTTTGTAATCATTTTTAGAAGGTGGTGATAAAAGTTGCTGATTTAATAAACTAATATTGAACTACCTGATATTTTCTTTTGTAAGCTTCTTTCTGGAAGGTAATCTTTCAGTGACTAGAATTTTGCAATCCTGCTACTTAAGGCTCATAGGCATAGGAGCTATTTGGCAAGCTGCTTATTTTCCCACCTTGGTTTATGTATCCAGAATAGATTATGGCTGTATTTCTTTGGTGTCCTTGAGTTTGTTGCTGAAATTACTGCCCATGCCAAGGCTTCACTCCAGAATTAAATTTATATTTAAAAAAAAAACCCAAAAAAACCCCAACAACAAAACAAACCAACAAACTCAAAAACAAACCTCCAGCACCTTTCCATAATTAGCTTTTTATAGCAGAATGTAATTTTGGAGTTTCTTAATGTCTAAGCATGGAATTTTCTTCAAGTTTGAGTGGAAGATAAATCAAAAACTTCCTGTGTGGACTGAAAGCTTGAAACTTGAGCTGAGGGTGCTTGAACACTTCTTTTAACTTCAATGGGGTTACTAATCTTGAAAAATAAGAGTAGACTAAATAGCAGTTTAGCAAAAAGTACTTTGCTGACATGTTTCTCCCAAAAAATCCAAGGGCATCTTCCACTACTACTAGTGGAAGCCGGGCTACCAGTTACTTATAAATAACCAATTATATCAGTAGAGCATTCATATTAATGTTGTGCTTAAATTAATTCCTCCTGCTCCTCTCCTTCTCTCATATACCCATGACTTACTTGAAGTGTCTCCAAAGATATATCTGTGCCACCAGGATGCTACAGTTTAGCTATCGCTCCTACTACTATCAAGTCCAAGTTGCTGCAGAGTTAAAAAGGTTTGTATGGAGCAGTGTTAGTAAGCTAAGCTGTTACGCTTGTGGTGGTCATGCCGTATGTCACATGAAAGCAAGTGTTTCACATGCAAACAATATGTTGTGGGTTCCCGGAGGCTACGCTGCTGTTGAATTGCAGTGGCTTGTTTGAACTGTTCCTTACAGAAGTCAGCAGTAGTTTGGAGAAGGTGACGTTTTTAATGGGATTTGGGTTTTTTTGGTAGAATGGTGTTTTACATACTCCACACACAAGACATTTCAGACTTTGAAAAATTTGCAGCACAATTCATAGTTAGATGTTCTGCTTTAATCCACGGTTTATATTTGGACAATGGGAAAAGTGGATGAACAGTCACACTACCAGTTCGACTAAGTTTTGCAGTAACTATTACTTCCAATTTTTGTCACCCTTAAAGTGTGAAATATTTCTATTTATGCATACTGTACCATTTAGTTTCTCCAAACCTTGTTATTGGCTCCCATGTTTGGTGTATTTGTAAGAGCCTTGGAGCAGACACTGCTTTATTCTGAGCTTCTCTGATCCAAGGCTTTACCATGCTGCAAGTGCTAAATGTGAGTGCAGAGGACGGTTTAGGAAGCTTGGCCCTTGGGCTAGCCTGCCTGACTTGGGTAGGAAACCCCAGGAGAAACAGTTGGCTGCATTGCCCTTCCTAGACAGACACACACACATCTGCTGAAGGTGCCTCCCTTCGCTCAGGATTTGTGGCAATGAGCTATCTTCTGGAAATAAATGTCCAAACCCAGCAAACACCTGTTGTGATCAAAACACAGTCAGGAGGAGGTGTACATGTCTTTCACAACTGTATTCAGAAGTCCTGTATCTACACAGCTTTTTCTGACCTTTGAGGGAAAAACATCTTCTCTCGTGGAAACCATGGTATAGAGATGGATTCCCTTCCGTTTCCCCCCAGGACTTCATGCTAGCGCAGATTTGTACCTAGTGATAGACTGTGGACTCACAGTTACTTTCTGGTCCACTGAATACTGGAAACTCATTAATGCCAGGTTTAACTTGTTCTCCCACCTATTCTTTTCTCTGAGATGGAGCTTGTCGATGTTCTTTCCAAGGTGTTGCTAGCTTGGCATCTCATACTCTGCTTCAGCCTGGAGCTCTGAAGATTTCACTGTAGTGCAAGTAGCTCATTTTACACGGATGGTATGTATCTCTCACCAGATGCTGTACTTCAGATGCTCTGTAAGATTTCTATGTATGATTGTCATTTTTAAAACATTTCAACAGTTCCTTGTTTAAAAGATGTTGCTTATGTTTAATGATTCCCTATTTCAGATCATTCTGTGGTGTCTCTTTTTCCAAATGCATTCATTTCATGTCTATTCTGGAAGTAAGAAACTAACCAACAATGTAACTATAACCACTAAGTTCAGGACTTGGCAGTTTTAGCCTACAGTGGAGAGTAATTGCACTTTTCATTTTGCACTACCCTGACTTATCTCTTGTCTGCTAAAATTTGCACCCTTAAATGTTAACTGTTTATACAACACAACGTCTTTTGCCAGCTACCTTCAATCATTCCACGTGACTGGGTGTCCTTCTCAGTGAAACTGGGATGGCTGGGCTGGGAGGGGGCTGTGATTGTAATCGGTAACGTGCTGGCTGGGACGGTGGGGGACCACAACCTGAGAGCACACCGTGACATACACCATCCCTGTGGGTAGGGAGTAGTGCTCTGGCACTGAGGGTGCTGAGATCCAATCCTCATGTAAGTCTCACAGTTTTGTTTCATTAATAAATAGAGCTAAATGCTTTATCACTCAGATATACAAACAACCCCCTAAAATACAGCTGTAAAGGAGAAGTTTTGCCCTCATGCAGTGGTCTTCCTTAGCAGCAATGAATAAAAACATCTAAACCAGATGATAAAAATACACTAGTTAGATCTGGCACTGCCAACTTGGTGATTTCTAAGGCCTATTTTCAGTTCAATGTTCAAAATGTTAAGGTTATTCTGTCACTTGAAACCCTTTATCTATGTTTGTATGAAATGGAAAGAGAATTAAAGTCCTCTGTCCCATGCGTTCATCCTGCAAAGCCTTTGAAGCTCTTACGTTAACTGTTTGAGGTTCAGAAACAGAAGGAAAATTTCAAGATTATATATAAACAGCTCCGAGGAGAAAATGTCTTTAATTCATGACTAAACAAGCAATCGTATATTTTCTGTTTCAAAAAGATGACTGAACTTCTTCATGCCAGGAAAAATAAATCCATCTGATTTTGCTTTAAGCTGTCCTCTTTTTCAAATGCAGCGAGGGGCTCCAGTTCCTCTGGATGATGTAATTCGACTGTTCTGCTTGAGTTCTGCTCCCTGTTGATGTCATGTTGCCGCCAGCCAACTATTCAAAGAAAAAAGCAACTTCTAGTTTAGACTAGAGCATGGGGAGGCTGAGGTTTATAACAACCCAGCATCCTGGGATGCTGGTTTAGAGCCTCCCAGGCAGAGCTCAGCTTTAAGAGGAGCTGGGGCTCCATCCGCCGGGGACCCCCCTGCCCGTGGGTGGGTGGCACCCCGGGGTGGCTGGTGACGACGGCGCTGGGAAGACAGGTATGTGGGGGGCAGAGGGGGGGTGTGCCTGGGGGTGGTGAACTGGAACCTCTTGGGGAGAGAAGTATTTGGCTATTTAGGGACAAAGTTCAGCTGAGAGGCCTGTGAAAGCAGGGAATCTGTGCAGGCTGATGGCTGAGGTCTCCACACCTCTCCTAACCTGCTTTTGACTAACTCCCCATCTTTTCTTCAGCCTTAGTGTACCAAAAGAGTAGATTCTTGCAATAAGTACTGCCTGCTGCTCTCCGGTGCTCTCAGTCTCCAAAGCACAGCTCCTCTGTGCCACGCTGAGGTCTAAGGCTTGCTGTAATTCAAGATGAAGTTAGGAAATACTCTGGGATCATGGTTCCTCCCACTGTGTCCACGCTGCCTTGGTGAGACTGAACATCAGCTGTTTGCTGGAGCTGGGGAGGGCAGCAGAGGGGAGGGCTACCTGTGGGACCCAGGCTGCTGGCCCCAGGCAGTGGGCTAGTTTCTGTGCTCACTTGGTATGCTGTGGGCTACAAGGCTGTGGCCCTCAGTGGCGGCTGCGGCCCTGAGAGGCAGCTGCCTTCCCAGATGCTTGTTGCTTTGAGACTCGCATGTGGAAGCAACATGGTTGGAGACACAGTGGGAGGTGGAGGACTGAGCTGTCATGCACATGTTTGTACTTAACATACTTATTTTTGTTGAGATTTGGGGAACCTTCTCCTTAGCAGAGCTCAGAAAGGGTTTTCACGTACCTTCAGGGGCGTGTGTATGCTAAAGCATACGTAATGGAGGGCTGTGGGCTGTGCCAAACTTTCCACCTGAGCCGAGGGAACGAGCTCAGTCCTCTGTGAGGGCAGGCACAAATACGGCCACGTGCCTTTCAAATCTGACCTGGCTTTGCTCAGCAGCCGCTCAGAGCATGGACATCGTAGCCTGGTGCAACGAAAGGGGCATTTAGTTGCAGGACTGTCAGCGGTGAATGGCCTTACGTGGGGACAGGCCGGCAGCCGGAGGTGTCTGCCCCTGCCTGTGCCAATGCATTCCCCTCTGGCCGGTCCCTCCACCCCGCTGGGCGAGGGCTATTGCAGGGGGAAGCCGGTGCGGCTGCCAGGGGAGTGGGGCCGGGGAGGCTGATGGCGAATAGCCCTCCGCTCAGGGGTGGGAGCAGCAACCTCCAGATCTGCAAGCCTTTGCTAGCCCTGTGACCATTGCTTTTATGCTCTTTGTAACAGGGGAATTAAGCGTTTCTCCCTGTCTTAGGACCTGGGAATTCACATACCTGTTATGGGAGGAGGAGGATTATGTTTTGGAGAAAAAAAAAAATAATCCATATAGGTAGAGAGGAAGTTCCACATCCCTCTGTTTTACCCAGTGTTGCCAGGAGTGGAAGGGCTGGTGGCAGAGCAGCTTCGGGGCTGCAGGCCAGGCTGCTTGGGCATGAGGTCTGTTTGATCTCCGTGGTCTCTATTTCCATCTTAAGCAGAACAAAATCGTGGGCAGATAAGAAAGGGTGCTAAAAAAACTAATGCGTCTTATGTGGCTGCTACTTTGCAGAAGGGAATCCCACATCAGGGCCCTTCCTGTTAAGAAACAAGAAAATGCTGCTGCCATCACAGAAAACCACTCCAGACTGACAACAGGGCAAGGGCAGGGTGCTCTTTGTGCCCTTCTCCTTCCTGAGTTCGGTGGAAAGGCTCCCCTTCTCTGCAAAGGCAGCAAGAGCGGGCCCATAATTATCCCGGAGGGGTGTTTTTTTCCTGGTCCCTCCAGGAAACCACACACAAATATTGTTGTGCCCTTCCTCTTACCTTGTTGGGATATAAATAACAGAGGAAATGGCTTTATTTATCAGTGTCACATAAATGTCCACCATTTTAACTTTGAACTGTAGATAGATACAACAAATGGAGATAGATATTCAGGAGTTAGTGACATTTTATACCAGATCTTTCGTTGCCCTGTATCATCATAAAAAGCAAAGCCAGTGTTCCACACATTTAATCGTTTAGGTAATAATTAACTTGCAACAGGGAGAAATGCCTGCATCCAGGGCCAACACACCTACTGGTTCTCTGCCTTCTGTTTGACAGGAGGAAGGACATTTTCTCAACACATGCAAGCTAGCCAACCTGTACTAGATCTAAACCTATAGTTTAGATAACCTATAATCCTGCTTTTAGAAGAACGTAGATATAACTCAAAGCAAGACGGACGAAAGAAGAGTGGAATTACAACCAGGCAATGAGCTTACAAAAGAGATGTAAACAGTTGCTGAATTTATATCCCTTTCCTCCTGTTATCCTGTTCCCATTTAATGATCATCAAGAATTCTGTTGTATTAGTTGGCTGGTGAACACAAGTCCAGGAATTTGGACTGAATATTTTGAGTAATACCTGTAACATATGTATTCAGTTTTTTATTTTTAGCTGTCTTATGTGACACAATGTATGACATTTCTTTAGGGTGTGTATGAAGATACAGATTTTGTGGATCAAGTTTTGTCTGTGCTGAGTTTTGGGGGGTTTGTTCATTTCTTATGTGTTTTCTTCCATCACTTTGGGTTGCTAACTAAACTACACTTGCCCGAAGGGAAAAGACTGCTATTCCCTTACCACATCTCTCAGCTGGACATCTTCACTTGCAGCTTCTGATTTCAGATGCCTGTCTGTTTTCTAGCAGTGATTCCCAGCAGCAACCCTCTGGTTCCTGGTGATGATGCCAGGTCAGTGTGTTCTGTGCTTGTGCGACCTTGTAAGTGACAGAAAGGACTCGCTGCTATATAAGTTACCAGCATTGTTTTCCCTTTTGTTATTAACGAAAAGTCCATTGACAGTAAACTTTAGAAGCGGCTGGCACTGCCAGCTTCCTTCCAGTTTGCCCTACCAGCAGCACGTATCTGTGCACATGAGCTTCCTCAAAGCAGTGACTGGTAAATTCCTAATGCTTCACCATTTGGCCTTCTCATTTGCTGTATCCCAATTTAACCACCTGGGAAGTGCTCTGATCTTTGTACCCTCTGCTGTGCTTTCATTTTCAGACTCCATTGTCGGGTTCGATTTCCCAGGTAAGAATTCCTTTAGAAAAGCAGCCTGTGATCAGTCAGCGCCTTCAGTGCAATTGTGAAAGATGCTCTTTACCACAGCATCAGCATCATGGATGACTATTTTCACTGCTTTATAGCAATTTTGATGCCATTTTTGAGTGTAAGAATCAGTCAAGGCCTGTGACAACCTTTACTCATTGTGTTCTGGTTATTTCCTTCAGATCAGATGAAAGGTTCATAGGTAGATCATAAATACTTGTTCTCTGTTCCTGAATTCAAAGGTATCTGCGTGAAGACAGCGAGCTGAACGTAGGAATAGGAGTGGTTCTACAACTGGAAGTCATTCTCCAGAATGACCAACTGCTGAATGTCAGGAAGGGGTTCCTCCAAACCGGAGTAAGTCCATTTTTCTAACATTCCTTGATCTTTTTTCTGTAATGTATCATTATAGCTAGATTTGGCTCTTAGCACTGCCTTTGCATCCTGCAAATGCAGATAATCTATTACAGATCTGTCTTCAGGTAATTATCTACCAATGCAGGGAGCATTTCTAACTTAATTTAGTAAAACAGGTGAGCTGTTTTGTGAGGCAGTAGCTCAACAAATAAGCTTCCTTTGCACCTAAATTAAATCAGTTCAGTCATTGTTCAGGGTGGCTGCAATGCTTGGATAACAACCCTTTTTAAAAAAGGAGCCCACAGACATTCTGAGAATTGTTTGGCAAATTCAGAAATGGCATTATGATATGGGTTAGCTATATGGGTTTATTACATGGGGATGAGTTAATATCAACCCTCTGGCAGGGAAAGGCAATTATTTGAATATCTGCTCTCCAGATGGAGAAAATAGGCAGTGCTGAACTAGCCCAAAAGATCAGAAAATATTGTGAGGATCTTCTTTATAGTTTTATTTCAAACTTTGCTACATTTTTCCTTTCATAAGGCTTTCATCTACGGTCATGATCTTTCCCTGTGTTGTTGCTGAACTCTCAGGTTTCAATGCTGTCCCTGTTTTGCAGAAATCAAGCACTAGGAGTTAAAAAACATCTGCCAAAAAAAAAAAAAAAAGCAGTAACAAATCATTGCTTCTGCTCTTCGCACACATTTTCATCTTGAAAAATGGCAACATTTTTAATATTTATTAGACTATTAGTTTTATAGTCTAATAGCCTATCAGGCAAGCAACTTTCCATTTGCAGTGGCTGCTGTTGCTAGTTCCCTATTGCCGTCTTCTCACGCTAGGACAGATAATGGGCTTTTTTTCAGTATTTTATATTTTATGAATTAAAAGGGCACAGAGCCCGGAACAGCTCAGAGCTGGGCCTTCGCAAAATGGACCGAGAATATTTGGGAAGCAGGTCACCCTGCTCCACACCTCTGCCGTTTGTCAGGGGTTTTAATTTTTCATTCCCTTCTCTCTTTTTAGTGGATTGACAGCAGCAGACACACCTCTCCTCTTCCACTATTCCAATAGGTTTCTTGGTTTCGCAGCTAGGCTGACATCTAGGTAATACTTATAATTGTGGCAGTAGTCCAAGCAGATGATGTTTGGTCACTAAAGATGTCTGTAGCTGTGGATCTTACACTGATTATTTTTTTTTAAGTGATTCTCTTGTCTTCATAACAGCAAGGTCACTGCTCTTACAAATTTACACCGTAAGCCAAATGACTCCAAAAGAGTTGTTCAGCTGAGCTGGAATCTGGTTTATTGTGTCACAGACTCTAAAGGGAAGACTCCTCCTTTCTAATCTTATTGAATGTTCAGCTTGGGTGCTGTGATGAATTACAAGCCTGATTTTTAACTGATACAGATGAGGCAGACAAGCCTGTGACAGCCTGGGGAAGAGGAATAATGCTTCCCAACGCCCAGCCTAGGATCTTGTCCATGTGGTTATGGACCTGTGTCACCATCCTTACAGAGACAGATATGCAAAAACTGAACTCATGAAAGAAAAGAACCAAGTTGGTTCTATTTTCTTTCTAAGCAGCTGTTTGATTTCTCTTGGAAATACTGTGATCTGAAGGCCAACAGCAGCATCTCAACGAGTGCTCACACTTTCAAGCACTGCATTGGAAGTGATTGGCAGATCCTTCATTCTGACAGAGTCCAAGATCAGTTCTCTGTCATGTGCTTCCAGCACACCCAAGGAAGTTACTGGTGGCTTTCAGATCATGGTGCTCCTCATGGCATCAAGTGACTGGGGAAAGACTGAAAGTAAGTCAAGCTGCATAGATACATGTCATATTTTCATCCTGAAACTAGAGATGCATTTTAAAAAGGAGAACTCAAGTAAGTTTAAAATAAAGTTGTGTGAAATTAAAGTGCAAAGTACAAGCAAAAGGAAATTAAGGTATTATACTGGGTGTGGTATTGAATCTTGTACCCTTTGGGGCTGGGTTCCCTACATACACTGGGCATGTTACTGTTTTTCGTAGCTGGCCAAGCAGATCTCTTCAGCTCTGAGCACCTCACTGCAGTTTCTGGCTTCCTAGGTGGCCATGGGTACCGAATATGAAAAAGATCACATCAAAAAGCTGCAGGAGCAGCGTATGTCCATGCAAAAGAAAACCTTCACCAACTGGATGAACAACATCTTCTTCAGAAATAATGTAGGTAGTTCCTTCAATTTGAGATTTTTTGTTCTGTTTTTTATTTTATTTATTTCACTCACTGTATTCTTTTTTTAAATGTTATTTTTTACATATTTTTCCTGAGTGTTGTCATTACACATATATGCAAGTAAAGAAGACTTTGACTAACCAGAGTCCTCCAGCCTGTATCTTTTAGCTTACATCTGTCTCCATAGTTCATGTTATCAGTCTTCCCTGAAATCTGGGTTCACTTTTGTAGACTGTATAACTCTGTCATATTGTGATGTCCACTGTATCTTGGTGATCATCTTGGAGGAAGATCTTTATTTGCTCTTCTTTTTCCTATAAGTAAAGTATCTGCAAATATCTGGATTTCCCCAAACAATGCTCAATTCTTAATTGCCTGGCCAAAATTTAAGACTTTCTGCTTTGCCTGATCAGTCCAGCTTGAGTTGCTGCTCAATGACTCTGAAAAAGTTGCCTTAAGTCTAGCAATTTCAGATATCTACCATGCAAGTACAGACCAGTTTGTTTTCAGTAAGTCTCAGACTTCGAAAAAGCTTCTGAGCTAGTGTACAATTGATTTGTGTGTGCAAGGTAACTCCAACGTATTCCAAAAGTCTCCAGACTTACTGCAGATAAACTCATTTCAGGCACAAATAATGTAGCTGTGTTACAGTAGGGAATTACATCATCCAAAACCAATTCCCTTTTCTAGAGTCTGTAGCTGATATTAATGAAAATGGCCCTTGGTGACATCAAGCAGGACCAGGCCTGTTGGTTCCATTCTAGCTCATCACTATAATATGATGTTTCAGTACTAGCTGCACTTTTTTCAGTGTAATGTTTTAAGTTGGTGATTGGTGCAAAGGCAGCCTCAGAGCACAATGATCTTTTAAATTTACTTTTCTTACCATGAGAGAAGAACTGCAAAACACATTCTCATTTTGCCACCTGCAGAAAGTTAGGTTTTTGTGGTGTAGGAAATTATTTCTCTTTAGCTACAGATAAATATATATACTTTCTCATTTTAAAAACACCTTCAAGTTCAAAGATTAAAATGTCAGTCTTAACTTCCTGCACAGTACTTGTTCATGTATCATAAAAGCATGGGGGAAAAAGCCTGCAAGAACTTTCCAAACCATATGCGGTAAGAAATGGTGCAGAGACTGACAGCTTATCTAGGTCTTCTCAGCAATGTAGTCTCAGCTTTTCAACACGCACTTTAACATTATTGGATCATACTAGAGGACATATTCTGAGTTGCACTGTTGACTACTTCAAGTCTAGCACTAAGGATGCTATTAGATTGAATATGTTAAGCAATCCGTGACTGGTATCTTTATGAGAAGAATGATGCAACAAAGCTGTTAAAGCTATTGCTGGGTGAGGCATAAAACAGATATATGAAGAAATGGAACTATTCTTAATTTATAGAAATGTCACAGAATATAACAGCTTTAACTTTTTTATAGTAATGTACCATAGGTAGAATTTTAAGTTTATTTAATATGCAAAAAGAAATAAAGTTGGCAACTAAACAGGGAGTTTTTCCTGGAGATAATGACTCAGAGAAAGTTGTAAATTCTTGTTCTGCACACAGTACAGACTTAAAGTCTCTTTGAGTTGCTTTTACACTTTCAGTGTTTTCTTCTTTCTCTGGAGATAAGTGCTGTTGAACTGTTTAATAATTGGTCAGGAATGAAAAAGCACGTCTGTTACTTGTCCTCTTTTTCCCCTACATGTAACTATTCTCTGAATTACAAAGGCTACTACTTAGCTTCAGAAATATTTTTTTTTCTGAAGACAAAAAGGTTATTTACCATGATTTCAGAATCACAGTAAATGGTTGTTGAGTGTGTGGTATGGTGTTAATGTCACTTCTTGATGGCTAGTGGCATAAGGCCAAAAGCAAATGCCCAAGGCAAGTTTTTGTTAGGTCAGAGTACACACTATGTCATGTTGTATCACCTAAGCACTGGGTGACCTCACTACTGGCAGCAATGAAATACATTTTTGTAAAAGATCTTAATCTCTTGCTTAGTGTGAGACTCTGGCTAAAAATATGGAGACTTTGGGTGGTAGCGCAGGTCTAAGCAGGTTGTAACAGACTTTTTTGAGACTATGGAGTGAAAACCGAGTCACTGAATGGCATTATCAAGATCAATTTTTAAATGAAATGCGTTACTCATAATAAAAAGTTGAAAAGATTAATTTGAATTGAAATTTAAAATGTCAGCACTTCCAAAATGTTTGATTCTGAAAATGCTGATTTTTAAAAATATTTTTCACGATTTCCTGCTTTTTTCTTTATTTGTTCAGTTGTGGTTGTGTTTTTTTACTTCAGCCTACTTTCATAAATGATGTCAATCCTCCTGCAAATCCATTTTTTGTGAATTAAGATTCATCACTTTTTGCATATATGCACTGACATACAGAAGACTCAGTGAAACAGCAAGAATGTGTTGTTTGTTTAGTATTAGAAGTAGAGGGTTCTGTGTGCCAAATGTTCTAGCCAGAGTCTGTATTGTCTGACTGGTCTTCGTAGGTAAAGGTTGAGATAGAAGATATTTACACAGACTTGAAGGATGGCATCTCTCTCATGCAACTCTTGGAGCTACTCTCTGGAGAAGCTTTGCCCAGACCGAACCGGGGAAAGATGAGAGTGCATTTTCTAGAGAACAACAGCAAAGCCATCACATTTCTGAAAGCCAAGGTAAGTTAATATTGATATTAGAGATCACAATAGCTTATGTATGTTACTAACTAATTATAGTATTATGTTCATTATGATTTTCCCCTCTAATACATGATAAAATACTCTTTGAAGACAGGCCAAGGGTTTATTAAAAGGGAAAAAAAAAGTCATCAGATTTTAATTTCTTTGTTATTTCAGTAACATGACTTATAAAGAGCTAATGTTCCCTCAAAACAAGTCACACCTAAATGAAAATATACTGCTTTTCTATATCTTTCTAGATGTTATGTTTTCCCAGATGTTGAGGGAGAGAAAACATCATTAGGCAAAGGTGAAGCTACCTAGTATAAAATGGAGATTTTTAGAGCTCTGATTCTAACAGTTTCAGCAAGTCATTGCAATGGTTTTATTTATTTCAGTTGTGCATCCTCATTTCATCTACAAGCTAGTATGTAAATTTTTTTATTTTCTGAGCAAAGAATTTATTGTAGACATCTCTGAAAAATCATCATTTTTTGCTATGCTCCCAAAGGAGCAGAGGGGTTTCATAGCAGTAGGCATGGGAAAGTATATAATGTCTGGATTTTACTAATTACAAAACAAATACAATACAGCACGGGGCTCCAGCTGCCGTATGCCTGCTAAGGGTACACACTGTGGAAGGCCCAGTGGTATGTGCACATCCAGGCTCTGGCAGCTGGACCATGCAGCCATCACTTGTCACATCAGTCCAGCCTCCAGAGAGGAGGAAGGAAGCATGCTCAGACTTCTTGAAGGGATGTTGCTTTGTTGGCATAAACGACAAACTTGCTTTCTGCTCAAGTAATAGTAGAGAAGACAGCCATGCCTTGTTTAGTATGTTAGTTTATTTAGTATGTTTGTACTGTTTGGTGAGCCCAAGAGCTGTATGCTGACTACCTGGCTGGGGACCAGACAGAGGAGATGGTCTCTGAGTTTGACCTGCTGTCACTGTGTTGGAGGAAAGGAGCTGTGTTTCTTTCCTCTCCTTAACCATCAGTTTTCAAAACCCTTACAGGAACTTTAAATCTTTGAGATCGCAATCTTTTTGCCAGGCTTTTGCTGAAACTCGTCCTTGGTACATGTGAGAGCTAGGGTGTGAACATGGGAGCTTGCAGGTATATAGAGAAATGAAGAGATCACCTAAAACCTGTTTCCTTAAGAAAACAGCCTGAAAACCCTCTTCGATAACAGCTTGTTACACAGATATCTCCTTCAGGGAGCTGGACGTGAGTACTTTTATGCTGAATGGATATTGGTTTATTAGCAGGTACAAGTGAAAGTGATTGGTCCTGAGAACATCGTGGATGGTGACAGAACCTTAATCCTGGGACTTATCTGGATCATTATACTTCGATTTCAGATTTCGTTTATCAAACTTGACAAGGTAAAACAGTGTCTTTGTCTTTTTGCCTGATTAGAGTATTTTAGAAACTCTGTAGAGTTTCAGGCCAGCAAGGACCATTTTGATGATGTTTCCTGCATTTTGATCATGCAGATCTTATAATATTACCCAGTTAGCCAGCCAGCAGTTTCTAAAAGCAGTTGAATCCATTTTATAGTTTCTCAAAGAGACAGAAAACAGTAACTTGGAGATAGATAGGATATTCATGTTCCTCACTCTCTTCCACAAATGTGTTACTGGCTTTTGACTCCAGAAAGAATTTCTCTGACAACAGTTCTCTCTAGATTTGAACTGCAGGCTGCTACTTTGCTCTTTCTCTGAAGAAAAACATTCTTTTTTAAATTATTTAACATGTACTCTAAGTACATGAAAGATAAGATCCTACGAAGGTATTATGAAATCAAAGTTAATAATTTCTAACATTAGACCTGGATATGCTATATTTTGTTTCTGATTTCTAGTTCACAGCTAAGGAAGCAAATAACTGAGCTTTGCTTTCCACTTGATTTCTACAAACATTGCAGAAGAGAAACATTTAGCATTTAACCTTTTAACACCTGCATTTCATGTTATAATTTCTGAGTTCATTCAATTCACTTTTACTTCTCCTTTCATGTTAAATCATTCTACCTTCATGGCAGATACAGTCTACAACTCATGACTTTGAGGGGATTTGTGAATAGGATGGAAGTAATACAAAGTGATCTTTGGGAACAGGAACACAAGCGTAAACCCACTGATGTTACTTCCATGTATTGTTCACACTGATTTTTCTTTTCCCTGTTCTCTTCACAGGAAGAATTTGGAGGCAGAGCTGATGGTCTATTGGCAAATGAAGCCTTACTACTCTGGTGTCAGCATAAAACTGCCAGCTATTCCAATGTGAATGTGAAGGACTTCTCCAAAAGCTGGAGTGATGGGCTGGCCTTCAACGCACTCATACATGCTCACAGGTAAGATCTGATGGATCAGTTCAGGAGAAGTTGCTCATTGCTGTTTCTAGCTCTGGCACAAGTTGTTCCAGAGTCTGAATTACAAGTATTTGTCAAGAAACTTTCAAATTCTCTTTGCTCTCTCTCACTGAAGGCTCTGCTTTCTTAAATGAATATTCTCTCTCTGAGGAAGGAAGGACCAAAAGCTTCTGTTTGGTAGTTCCTTTTGTTGAGCATAAAATCAAATTTCCAAGGCAATATCACACATCTGAACAGTGCTGCCCATTATTTGGTCTCAGCCTCTCAGTCATGGTCCCTTTGCTCTTTTTCAAAAATTATTTTAGAGACTGGTTTTGTGGTATGAACTTTATAAGCATGTATACCTTCTGGTTTAATTGCAGCAGAGTAAACAACCTGTCTCTTTCTTTCTCCTTTTGAAAAATTGTGTAGAAAACAGCCCAAGGCAGTTGAGAAAAACCACTTGGGAGAACCTTGAGTATTTCTTCTCCCATTAACAGTTCTGCTACATTTTCTGGCAGGATACCATGGTGATATCCTGTAACTTCCTCAGCTGGGATTCACCCCCCTTTTCAGAATTGCCTCTCTAGTGGGTTTTGGTTTTCACCCATCAGTGAAGACGATAAATAAGTGAAGGGCAGAGATTTGCTGAGAGTGATATTTCAATTTCATAAGGGACAATTTTCTTCCTGTTATGTAGGTAAGGGGTGATGCTCTTGAATGAAGCTCAGGGTCTGACAGCATAGTTTCAGCATTAATGTCACATTCCTTAGTCTAATAAACAGTTTATGGTTTATAATGTGAAAGAACTTATGACAAACATAAATCTTTCTTCCTCTCCACGCCCTGTTCTTTTCCTTGCCCAGGCCTGATCTTATCCACTATAGCTCATTGCGGCAGGACCAGCCCATCAAAAACCTGAACAACGCCTTCGATGTTGCTGAGAAAGAGCTAGGAATCAGCAAATTGCTTGATGCTGAGGATGTGGCAGTACCCTATCCAGATGAGAGATCCATCATGACTTATGTGTCATTCTATTACCACTACTTCTCCAGACTGAAACAAGGCCAGACAATACAAAAGCGACTTACAAAAGTAAATGCATTACTATCTTGAGAAGTTAAAGTTAAATACGTAAAGCTAAATTTATGTTGGAAATGTTTGGGGGGTTTTGTGCAAGCTCAATGTCAGGATTATTTGAACTTGAAGTGACCTTTTATCATCACTTGAATCTTGAGAAGTGTCTGTAGACTCTCTGATCTCTCAAGGGGGTTTGCATTTATGTTACTGAAAATGAATCCTTTTTTGACCTCACAGTGTCTGTTTGAGAACTGATACGGCTCCAAGGCAGCTTGAGGCATACAGATCTCATTAATCTTGGGAGGATTACTGTTAGGCAAAAGCAGACCTAGTCAACAATTTTCTGATTTAATAGCAAAGGTGATCTCTTATTCTATAAGACTACTTTGGATTTTTTAGTTCCTGTGAAAATCCTCATCCTTTCTTTCTAACTCCTTAGGTACAAAATGGAGAAAGGAAAAAAAAAAGACATGAAAAATGAAGGGGTGCTCCTCCTAAGGAAAAAAAACCCCAAAGCTAAAAAAAAATTTTTTTTCAATTTACACATACATTTTGTCCCACATAATATCATGAGCTATATTAAAAACTATGTGCATCCTGTTGATGGAAAACTGAAGGAATCTTGTTGTTCCGCTGAAAACCACTTTCCTAAGAGACAATTTCATTTCTACCTTCAGAATAATTTATTCTGGTTTTGTCAAAAATACAAAACAAATAGCCCACAGAAAACCTGTGCACCTAGGATGGGTCCTACATGAACATCAGGACTTGGAGAACTGCCTGTGCAGTTGAGGGGGGGAATATGTTGCTTAATGGGAGGCATAAAAATCCAAACTAAGACTTCCCTGGTGGTGATGAAGTGAAAAGGTTTTGCAAAGCAGGGTTTGCTCAGCTAACAAAGTGGTCTGGGACAAGAACAAGATGATCCTGAAACATATATCAGTAACAATGAAGTTCTCTGAAGAGAAGAGTTAGATGAGAGCAGGACTTGGAATTTGGTCAAAAGATTGGGCATCAGTGAGGAGAGTAGGCAGTTAGATTTGACTGGTCTACACATGAGTCTCTGAATTTTGGCGAGGAAGCATTATTTTTCTTCTGATAAACCTGAAATAGTCCTTGAGTCACCAAGCATCTATTAGAGGAACTATAAGGATTAAATAAGCCATAATTCTTGTATTATGGGAAAAAAACAGAAAAAGTATTTCTCACTCTGTCCTTTTTCAGTTCCTGTTGTGCTCCACTGTTTTTTCTGTTTTGTACAGCTATATTTATTCTTTCTTTTCTCTCTCTCCTTCCACTTACCTGCTTCTTTTTTTCTCTTTGCCTCCTTCCCTATTTTCAGTCTGTCTCTCATATTGCATTCCTGTCTTCCTGCATTTCTGACACACACAAACATTCAGAAGGAGAACAAAACAGATGTTAATCTCTTCATGTCCTTAGTCCCCTCAGATAGGCAGCTCTGAATTTACTAATAGGATTGGGGAGGGAAGCCTGAATGTGTCAAGGAAGCCTTTGAATTCAGACTGTGTGACCAGGATGGCAGAGAGAATCACCTCGGGGAGGTAAATCTTCTTTCCCCCTCCCATGTGAGGTGACCACGCATTTGCTAGGATCTTTCAGCAAGAACTGGATATGATGGCAGAATATACAGAAGGGAGCCCTGATGTCATGGGCTGCTTTTCCTGCCCTAAAGGTTGGTGTTTTTTTCCTCCTCTTCCAACACTGTGACATGTATTCATTGCCAAGTGCTCTTTCTGGTAGGTAAAAGCAGATTACCACTTGCAGGGACTGGGTCTTTGCTCAGTGCCATCTCACTTAGTGATCTGCCTGGTTGGAGCAGGCAGACGCAGGGGAATGATGGAGGCAGACGACATTGTTCAGCATTAAACCTGACATCTGCAGGAAGGCTACTAAGTTAGGGCAAGGAAAAAATATAATATAAAGTAAAAAGACAAAGATGGAAAAAAATGTAAAATGGAGGGAAAGGATGATTTCATTCCTTTTTGTTTCATTATGGATTTCATTTTAAATGTTTGCTCCAGTGTTGACTTGAACTTGAAATAAAGGCAGGTCAGGCCACAAATGAAACAGATAAATGTCCTGGACTTGGAAAATTAGTACTGAATCAGAGTTAACATCCTTACCAAACCCCTATCTGGCCACAAGACATTCTCTGATAATTTATATAAAGAAAAACAGTTCCAATGGAAGAGCTTGAGAAGGGGCTGTTTGACCACAGTCTGCTGTGGACATGAGAGAACCAAGATCTTGTCTCCTACAGCCTAAGGTGGTGAAGCTAAGACGGTGTAATTGCATACTAGATGGGATTGAATTGTTTTGCTTTTAGGGATGAGAATGGAAAAAATAAATCTTTTTTCCCATTGTGGAACAAAAAATCTGAACCCTCAGTTTGGAATTCTTGTTTTCTATTTAGCCCACATAGGAACTGCTGACAGTCTCCACATGCATACTATTTGTTCCAAAATTAACCTTTTCTTAAATAAAAATTGCAATGAGACATTAAATAATATTTATTTCTCTGTGTTTTATGGAAAGTTATTCTAGGATTTCACCTGGCCTCAGATGTGACAGCTATCACCACATTGGTATAAAAAGGTGATGATTGTGGCAACCTGCTTGTTAAATACTATTTTCCTGACACATGTTCAACTATTTGATTCCTAAGCTTGGTTTATGAAGATGGTTTCCATTCAACTCTCTTTCTTCATTCTGCTTCTTACGTGGCTTGTAACATCATATTCCCATCACAGATCGTGTTTTTCCTGAAGGAGATAGATGATTTGAAGCTTCTCTATGAGCAGATGGTCTCTGACCTCCTGAAATGGATTAAACAGAAGGTGATGGAACTGGATGACTGTCGTTTCCCCAACTCTCTTCAGGAAATGTGGCTGCTCATGGCCAACTTTAAGACCTTCCGCACTGTGGAGAAACCCCCCAAGTATCAAGAGAAGGGCATGATTGAAGCTCATCTCTTCAACATCAGGACCAAGCAGAGAGCCAACAACCAACAGCCATACTTGCCCCCAGAGGGGAGGACACTGCAAGATGTGGAAAAGCACTGGATTATCCTGGAAAAGGCAGAGCACAACCGGGGAAGAGCACTGCAGGAGGAGATGCTGAGGCTAGAAAGGCTGGAACAGCTAGCCCAGAGGTTCCTGAAGAAGGCAGCCCTGCGTGAGTCCTACTTGGAAGACATGAGGAAAGTGATTGGGAAGCAGGACTTCTGGCCGGAGAGCGCAGACAGGATGGAGGCTGCCAGTAAGAAGCTGGAAGCCATTGTGGCAGATGTACTCCCCCGAAGGGAACGCTTCACAGCTTTGGATGTAATGGCCACAGTCATCAGCCAGGAGAACTATCATGGCAAAGATCAAATCATGAAGAAGTGAGTGATGGTCATGAGACTGTGTAATGGTGGAAGTTGAAATTAGCTGAAACTGTGGTGTGGTGGAAGAAAATGAATTGTAGCTATGAATCATAGCTCTGCTCCTTAAGAGTAGAACTTGAAGGAATTTCTTCTACCTGTGAACAGTTTCAGCAGATAAGACAAATCCTTCGTCGTCTTTAAAATTTTTATTTTTTTCTTGAATGATCAAACCCTCAAACTGGTTTCTCGTGAAAAATAGTTTTAAGGTATTTTCATTATACATGAAAATACTTGTTCTGCCAAAAAAATCATATTTTCCATCAGAAATGCCTAGAGGGATAATTTTTTTTTTCCAAATCAATGCATTCCTTTTTCAGTATGTATGTAGTCTCGGGAGATATAGATTAGTTAAGGCGCAAAGTCTTCTCAGATTGACTCCAGTTTGGGGCAAATCTTGAGAAATTACGTCTTCTCTGATTACCAATAACCTGATTTGGGAATGGCTAAGAATGCCATGCAAAAAACTTCTCTTGTGGTATTTTAATGCTTTTGTAAGTTCAGAAAAAAATCAAAAACCTGTGGGAAAGCTAAGAAAAAAGTTATAAGAGAGTAACCCAAAATCTTTATAAGATCAGATTGTGACTCCTGATATGGTTTAGATTCTTTTTTTACTTTAAGCAGCCATTCAAAGACCACTTATTTTTTTCCAAGCTTTTCCGTTGTATCAGATGAAAGCAATGTGGGATATCAGGTGTGAGGATCCATAAAAAACAATATCTAAATTAAAAAAGTCAATGACAGTTGATGTGCTAGTCAGAATTCCTCCCTGTGATCACACTAACTGGATAACAACATTGCTTTGACCTGTTTTGTGATCATGGCCTGTCCTCTTGCACTGGTGGTAAGAGTTGTGTGTGTTCAATTAACTCTTCTAAAGCTGCAAGCACTGAGAATCTCCCAGTGCTGCCCGAAGTCTTTGGTCCAATTTGTTTATTTCTTTCCCTTCCTTTGTAGGCAAAACAGCATTTCAAAGCAATGGCAGGACCTTCTGGATCAGCTGCAGAGACGACAACTCTCCCTGGGTACAATGCAGGAAATTCTGGGCCTCCTGAGGGACATTGATGCCATTACAGAGGAGCTGAAAGAGCTGCAGGTACTGAGCCCTCTCCACCGGCACACAGCTTGCACTGCTACCAGTGTGTGTCCCTAAAAAAACCTCCATGTTCCAGGGACTACCTGGTGCTAACAGAAGATAAGTCTATCAGATATAGAAAAAATATACCATTTTTACTTAGATGGCTAACTGTGCATTGCAGATAACTACATGAGAAAAAACAGGCTTTGCTACAGGGGCTGTCCTTAATCAGAAAGCCAGACATGGTATTACAGGGAGTGCACTACAGGTTCAAGTTCTGTAGTAAAATAAAGATGGGAAATAATCTCACCTAAATTCAGAAGTGTAAAAGCGAAAGTGGAATAAAACAACCTCCTGTTCACGTTCCACGAATAATCTCACCTAAATTCAGAAGTGTAAAAGTGAAAGTGGAATAAAACAACCTCCTGTTCATGTTCCACATAATTCTTCTGAATTACCTTCTGGAAGTACCTCCAATGATTATACAGGTGGGGACTAACTCAGGCATACATCTGACTTTCAGGTGTCTAAGCTTGTGAGAGAGAAAAGTTCCACTGTAAATGCACAGTGATTGCTGTTATGAAGAATATCCAAGTGTTACCAGAGTGTCATAGCCCAAAGTCTTCTCTTTAGTATAGGAAATAACGGGTTACTGGTATTGATATTGTAATGGCAGGGAGTATGTATACATCCTTTGGTCTTGCCTTGTCTTACCTAAAGACAGGAAAATCCTTATGACTACAGGGTGTCTTGTACCTAAGTTGAAAGAGTCAACAGGCTATATGAAGTTGTGAATTTCAAATTAAAGATAAGAGCTATCTGTAAGTTCAAATTTTTCTGTCCTAGTGTTAGTCAGCAAAGAACACCTAATGGTAATAATATGGTTGGAACCATGATAGACTGAGGATATGGGAGAAGATTGGTAAAGAAAGATAACATCTTACAACAGGATTGATAATTGTATCCATCGATACAATTAGACAGAGGACAGGCTTTCTAGCACTTGGTACCCTCATCAGGCACCAGTTAAATACTATGAAGTATTTATTTTCATTATTTAGATAGCAAAGGCAAGTAAGTTCCTCAAACAAAAAAACATTGCAGTCAAAACATACCATAAAAAGGAATATTGTAGATACAGGTGGGTGTATAGCAAAGGGCTATTCCTCGTGCCCATGAATTCTGAGACCTTGAGTGCTTAATCAGTAGAATTAACTTAGGTTTGAAAACATACTCTTATTAGAAGAGACGATTACTTGCATTGGAGTAGATAGAAACTCTGCATTGTTGCCATTAGCTTATGAAATTGAAAGAAAAGTATGATTCCTCTAATTAGGCAGCTTTTTTACTTTACCTAGCTGACATAATTCTTTTACTTTTAGAAGTTATGAGAGTAAACAGGAACCTTTCAACTGATTTCTTTGTACTGAGTCCTTGGATGCACTCTCTGCCAATGTCTTTTTTTTCCTCATTTTGTTTGCAGGTGCTAGTGAATTCCCAGGACTGTGGGAAACAGCTCCTGGAAGTAGTAGATTTGCTGCAGAAGCACAACTTGATTGACTCGCAGATCTCTTCCTATGATGATAGATTGGAACAAATCACCCAGAGGACAGCTGAAATCAGCAAGGACAGCACAGTTAAACCAGAAGTGCTTTATGCGAAAGTTCAGATGCTTCGTCAGCTCTATCAGAACCTTATAACTCTGAGCAAGTCACGGTAGGGCTGTGTTTATGGCTTGGTTCTTCCTGATTAGGATGATCAATCACTCCCTTGATCAGAAGTCACAGCTTCCCAGCGTTTGAAATTTTTCATATCTCTATTTACAAAGGCATAACACAGGCAACTTGAGTGTCTTGATTACAGCTGACTGAACCAGATCACTTGCTCTCATAGCTAAAGAACAGCTTCATTCTCAGCGTTTATTTTGACTTGCATTCTGTGAAGTCTGAATAGCACGTGGTTGTCTCCTCATCTCCTAGAGGAAGAGGGAAATGGAATCTTATTTCCTTTGTTGTCTTCCATGAATAATCTATGACAAAAAGACATTACAGGCATTCAGATTTTGGTTTTCTAAATTCTCCTTTGATTATGCTACCATTGTCTCCACGGGATGCTAATTCTGACTGAGATATACTGTTTGTTTCTCTGTTTCAGAAAATCGCAGCTAGAAGAGGCTTTGAAGCTTTTTGAATTCTTCCGTGACTGTAAAGAAGAAGAATCGTGGATCTCAGAGAAA